TTGTGTATCTTGCAATGCGCTTGCTGTTGCTGGAGAAGTCATACCTGTTTCATTTGTGCTCCTACCATCGTCTCTAGGACCTTCCCCAAGACTGGCAAGAGACCTGTAATCATCTATTTTTCTCAAAATTGAGGCGAGAATACAATGATGAATTAAGTAAAACATATCCTTTTAAGTCTAACTCACAAAACTGATATAAGTATAGTGGTATAAAATTTTACAATATCCATTATTTTTTAATATAAATTCAACTTTTTGATATACACAGTAATTTTATTCAACACTTTGTTATAATTAGAGCGGTTTTAGAAATATTTTTGGCGTTTCAATCTTATATTGATAATGATTGTGAACCTCGCTACCATCAGTTGACTGGACATCTACATTACACGAGTCACTGTTTACATGTGAACATTAGCTCATGGCGATACCAACGTATGTGTCTTACAAGACAGTGTATCTCGCTACCATCGATTGACTGGAGAATCATAGGTATACAAGAAACTGAGATTTTTGAATTGTTTAATCTTCTAAAAGTCAAATAAAATTGAAACGCCTGTATTTAAAATGACTTTGGAGAAAGTGGTATATAGTTGATAATTTTGAGACGAACAGCTATACATTCTTTGATTCAATACTTAATTTTAGGGGTGTTATGACTTCAGTGAAGCCTTTGTTAGCATGGATCACGTATAATTCTACATTTATCATCGTTTGTCAAACTACAATTTAAATATTTGGCAATTATATTCAATCCTCTATCTTTACAACACTTTTCATCAAAGGTCACACATAAAATATCAGGCCTTATAACATTTACTACGGGGTGTACCTCAGGGTAATATTTTAGGGCCAACTCTAAATGTTTCGCTTACCACCTTCTCCAAAATAAAATTCTTGGCAATATTATTTTTCCATTAATTTATATTTTAACTGGACTTCAAGATTATTGATATTTTTTCAAGATATGCATGTAGGTAGTAGTATGGGATAGTATGTATAAGAACGAAGTTACGTTACTTTAGATATGGATTAAGGACCTATGCTTTAATATGTTAGATGAACTATCAATTTAAGTCAACTTTAAGTGTAGGAGAGCCATTTGGTACGAACAGGCCGGCTCGACTGGAGTGATACCACGGCCTCACAGAAAACGACGTGGAACAACGCTTACATTGTGTTTCGTCATGTGAGTGAGGTTACCGGAGGCCCAATTACTCCTCCCTCCCTGAATCAATCTCTGAATCCCTAATAATTTTCAAGTTCCTATTCCTCAAAAGGTCAGTAACGCACTTGTGCCTCAGCCTCAGCCTAAAGCCTCTGGTATTCTCAGTGTACAAAGGTGATCCGTCTGCTCGTTTACCGGATTATCCCACATCTTTGATGATGATGCTGTTTTACATAGATAGGTTTTTAATGACAATGACAATACAACTGAAACTGCTAATCTTATCAAGCTGTATGACTTAAATGAATATATTTTCTAAGAGAGATGTCGATGGAATTGTATAGGAAGTTTACGTATTATTATGACGAAGATTCTTAAGACGTAATAATGTATATTTATAAAAAGTCCAGTCAAATTATAACCAAACAGAATTACAATAAAAGTTACAACTATTAAAATCCTATTCATATAATGTTATTATTATAATTTTATAATAAAATTTATTTATATTATTTTTTTTTATAAAATCTCACTATTTTGTTGCGTATCACTAAAAAGTGACAGATTATAATCTAACTATTAAAGGTGGAAACATATTGTTGATATCCCAATGTAACTACCTCTAGAGTTGAACTAGAAGTAAGAGACATTGTCAACGAAGCGTTGCCAAGTTTAAACTCACCTATTGTTTATGGAAGATGCATGCATTCCACGGACATTACTGACTGGCGATATATTTAAGAAGGGCCGAATTAAAAGTACCCTTACACGTGAACACCATAGGTCACCGGTGACCTACGTTAGCGGAGGATTTGCCTTCAATATTTTTCTGTTGGCAGTCAAAGGCTTAACCGAGGAGCATGCAAGAAAAGATTGATGACTGTTGATGAATCCAAAGAGGTATGTAGGAATCGTAGCAATTGACGTTCCATAGAGGGACTATGGGAGACAGGTATGAACTTATGTATGTATTATGTATGGTGGATGCATTCGTCAAATGACGAAACTTGGGCACAAACCCTAAATAAATTAAGTGTATGGGTGCTGTTAAAAGTATGATAGCTCCATCGCAAATGGCGCACAACGGCCCTGAATATGACATTCAATGGAGATATAATTATTTTCTTGCCTGTCTACCGAATACCTAGTTATGTTTGCATGCAGTGTCTATCCCTAATACAATGACATCTTGTTAGACGAACCCAGTGGCGTGCACAGGTTTTCGAGACAGGGTAGGCAACTAAATATCGTATGATTAAACCCCTCCCCCCCGCCGGTCATACAATCATGCTCACACAAGATAGGTACATGTACATAATATATTTTGAAAAGTGCGTTCAAGAATATTGTGGTGTATTGTTTCGCCAAATTACATACACTGACAACTCGCGTATTTTTTGTGAAGTACTTCATCAGCTATTGAATAAGCCAACAAAACTTACAAATAATGAAAGATCTATTATTTATTTTAATAATAAAGCATAAATTTGATGAACCAAATTTCATTATGGAATTGTTAAGGTTAATCAATCTGGTCAAAATCATAATATATTACGAATTTAAGAGCGTAGGTACCTACATTATGTCAACAAACAAAACAATAACAACGGCGGCCGGCTGTGGCCGAGCCGGCCGAGTCTATGCGGTACATTTGTTATTACTACATTACATAAATATTAATAATAAATTAATATGTGAATCAGTACAACCCGAAGTCTAAGTTGATATTTTTAAGAATTATCAAACAATAAACAAGAAAATCAAATAAAAGATCCATTATAGTACATATTTACATTACCTACCTTTTACTTGGGTCAATTCTCGTAACTCGAGTACACCTCTGCCTATGGTCATTACCTGAATCTAGTCCGATAAAGGACATTGCGAAATCTTACTGTTTTTACTTTCAACAAACACATAAAATTACCTATTATTCACACACACTTCACAATCGAATAATATAGGTACTTGTACTAGAAACTGAGAAACAAATACACTATTTGAAAAACCTACACATATATTTAACTACTACTACACATTTATGCAACTTTATGTTTAAAACTAATTCCTAATAATTTAAACGAAAACATAAACAAAGCGATCGCACATCACATGAAAACAATATGGCCGAAAACATTGGAAATGAATTGAAGTCATTACCAATAGTCAATTGAGTGTTTATTATAAAAAAAATGTAGCTTAAAAATTAAGGTAACGCAGCGTTTAATTTCAAAAAAACAAACGTTAATTTAGTAAGTCAAATGAAATTGCATCATCGTCTTAAACCAATATTTCATACTAAAAAACATTCATTCATATAATTTGAAACGTTGTTAATGGCGCCATCTTGACGTATCAATAACTTCCTTTTAACTTTTATAATAATAAAGTCAACTCCTCGTTTAAAATTTCTATAAACCGACAACGCGTAAAAATGTTAAACTTTAATTAAAACACTTGAAAAATATTTGTTAAATACGCATTTATAAAAATACATTCGCATTATATCGAACGAGTTCAGAAGTTTCAACAAAAAATTCAATAGATGGCGCTGGTGTACTCCATTCATCAGTACTTTACGATATACATACAAATTTTATCAATTTAAATCCTTTTATGATTTAATTGTTTTTAAAAATACAATAACTTGTTGTTGTTTTATTGTATTTAGAATTCTTAATAAAATACGATCGTTTTCCAAGTGATGAACGAACGGTCCTCTAATTTTTTAGTTGCAAACATTTTGTCAATCAACAGGAATCGCGTAATATAATTATGAATGGTTATTCTGTACCGTGACTATGGTCGTGAACTTCACGCATGCGCGGTGCATACTTTTGGTACATTTCTTTTGTGACGTCACTACTGCCAACCAAGATTTAAGGAATAGTGGCGCATGCGTGGTGCGTGCGGGGCGCATTCATTACTTTACAAAGGCGCGTATTTATGTTAGCCGTTTTTTTACAAACTTTTATTATATTATTGAATTTTAATAAACGCGTTTGTACATTATATGTATGTTATATATTCACGATATTTATAGGTAGGCAATGCCTTTTCGCCTATATGGACTGCACGCCACTGGACGAACCCGCTGATACAGCATTCGCGGTAACGCCGGGATGTTATGACTAGCGCCCGGCGACGGCCATCCGTAGAGATAAGGATTTAGTTAATAAGGAACGTTGTTTAGTTTATAAAGAACGCTGTATTAGATGTAACTTAGCCCTCTGCAACTGACGTGGTTAAATTGTTACAATTCAACTGAGGTGTATATTATACCAGACACCATTTCAACAGCAAATATTTTTGTAGAATTAAAGTATAGCGAGCACTATACAGTAAGGTACTCGCAGCAGTGATGCTCGTATTTGAAAAATGACGGTATAACACGTGATTTTGTATTTCGCGGTGTCTGTGGGACTACACGTCAGCTGCAGACGGTTAATCTGAATAAAACCGTCGTCAAGACTCCTTGGTTTCTTTTAAAAATCCTTCGGCAGCGCCTCCGGAACTTAACTACCTTGAGTAACTGCATACAATATGTTTGTTTTGCTGTCGTTCTACGCGTGTAACAATTGCGATAGGTACCTCTTGTACGAATTGCCTAATGCAAGCTTTTTTGACTAATTCGGTCACCTTAATTTTAAATACGATTTGTAATGCGATAAGGGGCGGCAAGAAAAGAGCGTATTCTTTTTTTATAAGGCCACACACCTGTGGCTCCTCTGGTGTCCATGGTGATGCGTCAGCTCATTTGCCTCCTATTCCATAAAAAAACTGCCTACCGTCAGTATTGTGTTTTATTTATTAACTTTTTGATTTTGATTGATTGACGATTCGTCGTTTTTTATTTGCGTTGTGGTGTGTGTCAGCAGTATGTTTCCATCTTTAACATAGTTTAGTGCTTCGAATGTCCCTTACATTTACAAAATGTCAACATTAGCGACAATTTTAGAATTATGTTTGTTGTTTTCTGAATTCATTTCGTGTTAAATATAATTCTGACTAATTCTCTAGTTGATTACTTTCTTTGTAATAATATTTGCTTTCTTCGTGTCTAGTTTCTTGTGCCAATTATTATGATATTCAATTTTTTTGTACTTTATCATCGAACGTGTATTTGTTTGCTTCTCACACGGACGTGTGTCTCACTTTCCCTTTAGGCGTTACAACGAATTCTTCCAAAGCCTCATCTACCTCACTGAGTACGAATTTCAAAGGACTCCGTTCATTGCCGACCCCGGAATTACCAATAGCTGTAACAATTTCTTCAGACTCAGTTTGATTTTTGCTCGCTTCAGCGCTAACTGCTAGTCTGTACCGTTCATTGATCTCAGCTATCTCTTCTGGTGAAGGACTCCATTGTTTCATGTCTCTGTCATCATCAATAACTTGACTGTCATCATCTTCGCTGATCTCTTTGATTTCGTCAAGACTTTTAGTCATTTTCCCTTCTTGGACACTGTCTGATATTTCGTCACCGTTTTTGGGTAATTCATTGTCTTTGTCGTTTGATTTTTCAATGACACCGTCGCCGCAGCCGACGTTTGCTTTGTCGTCGTCTTGTATATCTTCCACGTCGTCTAAACTTGCTTGTCCAGCTTTATATTCTGGTCCATTACTGTCACTACCAGAAATAGTTTTAACTGGTTTCGTATTTTTAATTTTGTCCAATTGTTCTTCACTTTCGTCGATAATTTCTAATCGAGACCTTGAGAAGAATTTATGTAATGATTCTAATTTATCCAAAGCTCTTGCACTTTTTTCTGAACTTGACGTAAGTGTTGTATCCTCCGTCATGCAAGCAGAATCGATTCTTCTCGACAAATCGGATATAGAATCCGATATTTCAGTTGTAGACGTTGATTTATCGACTTTCACGACTTTAGGCTTTATAATCATGCTTGGAGGTAAATCGGGAATATTTCGCAAATCGATTAAGCTAATCGATGATCGTTTTAAACTGGAACTTATATCGAATTCATCATCTGAATCTTCTTCTTCAAAATGCTTAGCTACTTTATCTTCTATGTAGTTCAGTAAATCTTCAGCAGCCTGTCTTATTTGTGTGTTTCTATCGTCTTTTTTATCAAGATCACGAGAAGATGGTTCATCTTCTTCTATTATGTCTGATAACTCTACACTGTATGGTAGGTACTGTATGTAAGGTAGCATCGGAGGTTTAGTATAAGATTCATAGTTCTCTATATCTTCTTGATCAGTCATAGTGTCATGCTCTTCTTCTAACTTCATTATTTCGCTGACTCTACTCACAGCTTCATCGAATATCATTTCTAGATCATTCTTTACATTACTCAGATCAACAACTGTTTCAGATATCCGTCTGTCTGTTGAATAATCCTCGCCTCTATCTATGACAGTGTCTTGCGTATGAGTTAGAGTCGAATCTGATTTCGTTTTACTAATATCACTAAAAGTTTCAAGTTTACTTATAGTGATATCCGATTTTGATTTCTCAGACAGCGACGGCGTTAAAGATTTTGAATGAAATTTGTCTTTTGTCGTGTAATTCTCCATGTATTTGATTAGCATTTCAACTAGTGTTTCCGCCTCTTCTTCAGGCGTATCATCTATGTAAGAAAGGTCTTTAACGTTGATATTCGCTTCGCTGAGTCCTGGTTCGACGTCAACGATTTCTATACTAGGCTTCGGGTCTTCCGGACCAAATAAGAACTCCATAAGAGTTATTTTATTATCACCAACTTCATCTTCCTTCTCCATACACCCTGTAGTAGCTAAGAAGTCCATTAGAGTCTCCATTTTAGCCTCTAATTCAGTATTTATCTTACTGGGAACGAATTCTTTAGTTTCTTCAGGAGTAACCTCACTTTTGAAGCAACTTCCCCCACTGCCTTTTCTTTCTCCTCTCTGACTTTTGACTATAGTAAAGAAGAAGTCGATTAGATTAGCTATTCTCCTCTCAGTGCCTTCTTCTCCATCAGAGCTGAGGTCAGATTCTTCTTTGACAAGAGGGCAGCGTTTAGGAGACTCTTCAAACTTCTTTGAAAAGACAGTTTCTTGGATCACTTGGAGAAGATCTCTGGCAAGACGTACAGGGGATCTCGTGTCGGTGTGTATCGCTTCGTAGGTAGATGCTGATGGAGCAGACCGCCGTCTGTCCCGATCTATTCTAATGAAGTCCCACAAAGAGCCAAGTTCTGATGATAATGAGGCTCTGTGGTTGGCTAAGCGGGTGCCTAGCCGCCGGAAGACCTGGAACGAGGATTAATACGATTAAAAATATTGTACAGAAATTCAATTTATTTTTCTACAAGTTAAACAAATCGCCTTGCGGTGACAATAAGGAAATTAATACCAAACTGTATTTTATCCTTAGAAGGTTATGACCATGGATATGACGGATTTATTAAACGCTTATATCTAACATATCACACTCACTTTAATTACACTAACGTGGTAGAAAAAGAAAAATAATACGTAAATGAGAATTAAAAAAAAACAAATAATTTTCTGTTCAAAATAATGAGTAACATATGTATATTAACTAAACATTGCGGGTTACTCACGTGAATATACTAACATACACTACTGAAATAGGTTGCATGACATCGCCGCGACTGCGCACGCTGCTCATGAGGAAGAACCCCTTTGTGGTTCGAAACTAGTAGAGCTCTCAGTCTATCCACGTGAGTCACCGGCGATTTTTAGTTAATTTAGTATGTCTCGCGTTGTGTTTCGTCTTGTAAGTGAGGTAACTGGAGGCCCAATCACCCCGCCCTTCCCCAATCTCCCCAATTCCTGAATCCCCAACGATCCTCAAACTCCTAATCCCCAAAAGGCCGGTAACGCACTTGTAACGCCTCTGGTGTTCCAGGTGTCCATGGGCGACGCCGATTGCTTACCATTAGGTGATCCGTCTGCTCGTTTACCGGCTTATTACATTAAAAAAAATGTCATAATCATAATCATAATCATTTATTTATTTGTAACATAGGTGGTATTATATGGATGTTCATAAGTTAATAACAGGTTTAGTTACACTATGTTTCGCCTTACTTGGCGTACAAATATTAATATATAATATTTTAATTGAATTAATAGATACAAAGAAACAAAGGTTAATTAAAGTCAAGAATGTCAATTTAAAAATTAAGGTCATATGAAATTTTTAGTCAGTTTTTAGTACCTAAGTGTGTCTTTAATAGACAAGTGAATAATGTATTATTTTTCATAGTAACAGTTATAACTGTAAAATCTTATATCTAATGAGATCAACGTCTTATAATAATTCCACTAATAAAACTTAACATATATACTCTTAATACAATATAATGCAGTCAAGCCTCATCGATTAATAACAAACTGTTCATCAAACTAATCGTTCACCTTCAAATAATTATCTTTCGTTCAGGAACTCATTTATTGAGTAGTAGGCCTTTTTTATAAGGTAATCGGATACGACACGTTTGAAGTTATTTAAATCAGGTATATTTCGGGTCAGGTATCTATCAGGTATATTTCGGGTCGGGTCAGGTATATTTTTAATGTCTCACGATAGTTATTGTAAAAAAGAGTACATAATTTTTGGTTCATTCTTCTTTTTTTTAAACTTAAGGGCCGATTTTTCCAACACCTGTTATATTCTATCAGAGGAATAACATTGACATCAAATATTTGACAATTGTTCCACACTGAAAACTGTCAAATGTCAATTTTATTCTTCAGTTAAGAATTAACTGATGATTGAAAAATCGGCTCTAAGCCATTGAAGAACTTTATTATCAAAGACCTGTAATTTTTTATGGGATAAGCCGCTAAACGAGCAGACGGATCACCTGATGGTAAGCAACCGGCGTCGCGTCGCCTAGGAACGCGAAACACCAGAGGCATTACAAGTGCCTTATCTAGGGTTGCAACCCGTACTTTATAATAAAGTATTGTACGTTATTTAAGGTAATTGTACTCTATACTTTATAAGAATAATAAAGTACACGAAAATACTTTATATTTGCAAACTTCATTTCTATTAAAGTCGTATGTATTTATTCGGTAACTAAACTTATCGATTCGATATCGATATTTATCGATTTATGTTGAATCGATTTCACTACTCGCCAGCGCCACCTAGACAATTTCTAGTAAAGATGCTATTGTTTAGCATTTCAATGCAATTGCTTGATAAAGATACTAATTTAATGCAACCTGCTAAAAGCAATAAAAAATATTTTTCAATATACTAAATAAGAATAAATTGTACTTTATTTTTGTACTATGTTCTTTTTTTTTCTTACTATAATCGTCAGTGTACTTTATATACCAAAAAAAAGGTGGCAACCCTAGCCTTATCGGTCTTTTGGGGATTAGGAATTTAGGCATTGTTGGAGATTCAGTGACAGGTAGTAATTAGACCTTCGGTAATTTAAAATGAGCTCACAAAATTAATATTTTGACGTTGGTATTTACCTGCCACACTCAGGATCGCCACGCCCTGAGTTTCCGTAACGAGAGTCTCTTGAACCTTGCTACTTGCGCTGCGAGTGCCTCTGCCCCTGCTGACATACCAGCACCTCCTGTCTCGCCTTCAGAGTGGACCTGAGTGAGAATAAAAAACTTAAGTAAATATTACGGTTCATGCACTGTTTGACGAGTTCACATAACATAACATACCACGCCTTTTATCCCCGAAGGGGTAGGTAGAGGTGCACATTATGCCACTGCACAATGTAATACCCACTTTTTACCGACTTCAAATAAAGGAGGAGGTACTATGTGCGGCTGACTGTTTTTTTTTGTTTGTTCGTGCAGTACTCCGCCATTTGTGAACCGATTTTGAAAATTCTTGTTTTGTTTGAAAGGGTATAGTCCCGAGATGGTCCCATTTCCATAAAATCAGGATCTGATGATGGGATCCTAGGGTAACCGAGGGGAACTTTCGAAAATTCTATTGACGAGTAATGCGTCTATTATGTTTTTCAATTACGATTTTTAACACTACAATTTGATAAGGGTCTGGAGTCGACCTGATGATGAAGCCGACAGACAGTCGAGGGAACTCCTCAGCGGTTTATATTAACTACCTTGTGTTTGGGCTTCATTAATTTGTATTGATGAGGACTTTACACCTAAATAGAGTGTGGCTGTCATTAAGGGTCTGATGATGAAGAAGTGTAATTGTTAAGGGAACTCCTCAACGGTATACTGTAACTACCTTGTGTTTGGGCTTGTATAATTTGTATTGATTAGAACTTTGCACCTATATAGATTATAAGTAACAAAACGGGTATATGTAGGTTTGGTTTTTTGAAGTCGGTTTTTTAAACGCAGTTTTTATTTTATTATCACTATTTATGTTATGAGTTCCATGTAATGGTGAGCCTATTGCCATATACCGGACACAATTCCAGACTCCGTGCTAGTACTGAGAATTTTGTAAAAACCGGTGTCACATTAAATATTCTTCCTTGACCTTATGTTATTACAGTCCATGCTTACCTCTCTCGAGCTTGTTCGTTTCTGCATGTAGCTCCGCATGTCCTTGTCAGAGTGGCCTTTTGCTCGTCCGATGCCTTTACCAAGAGGCGCTGTTGATACTCTCCTGCAATTTCATTTATTTTTGTAGTTTAATGTCCAAGTAAAAGTTATATAATTAATTTTTAAATGACATGGATTTTTATTTATATATAATGGGCCGACGTTTGGCCACCATCTCGCCTGCTTGCTTCGTGCTTATGGGTGGGACATCTTCCATGAATTGGTGACGCTTCGCCGATTGTTGTTCGATTTTGGAGAATAATAAAACGAATAAGTGAAGCGGATCTTGGGTCCGGAGAAAAACGTCATAACATAACATAACATCACGCCTTTTATCCCCTAACTAAGGTAAGCAGAGGTGCACATTATACCACTGTACAATGTAACACCCACTTTTCACTATTTATGTTATGAGTCCCATGTAATAGGGGGTGAGCCTATTGCCATATACCGGGCACAATTCCAGACTCCGTGCTACTACTGAGAATTTTTGAAAAAATCCAGTAATACTTTGCCCGACCCGGGGATCGAACACTCGGCCAACGAGACAGTTATATAAAAACGTCATAGTCTATATTCATAAAACCAAAGTGAACACATTTATTTAGTTTTTCAAGTTATGACATACAATTCGAGTTTGCCTGACTTCATAAAAAACTGGCGTGAAAACAGACTAGTGTTATATGCAACCGTGTAAGTCTCCAGCTCTACTAAGTATAAGAATCCTCCAAACCCGAATCCGGGTAACTCCTCTAGTGGTTAGTTAGAGAGATGACGAACAAAATTTTTGTCTCATAGCAATACGGCCAAAACCGCCTCGAATCGATAGATACGATTATCCTGAACTCGAAAATACCAATATCAGACATTTTCCGCGTAGCGTTTGATCTGACCACAAAAACACCAGACAAAAAAAATGTCTCATAGCAATACGTCTGAAAACCTTTTTTATTAGTAAATTTTGGTTATTTGATGCGAACAAAACAATTTTCAAACGGAAATGTGAACGCATTAAATATTGAGACCGTTTTGAAAATGTTAACAAATTTTACCGATCGGTATCATGGCAATATGTCTGAAAATTGTTGGACATGATAAAATAAGTTGTCCACATGTGCAAAAAATGTATATCAGACAAAATAAGTGTAGCACCTTCTCTATCAGACAACTTTTCGATACTCAGATATTTTTGACACAGCAGAAATGGCCTCCCACGCAGTTGCTACACTTTCGACCGTTACTACACACCTAGTCGGGTTCAGAATCATACAATCTAACGATTTTATAGGGTTTTTGCCGTATTGCTATGAGACATGGTTTTGGTCGTCATCTCTCGTACTAT